ATTGTTCTGTTTTGGGAAAGCAACTTTCGGGTACTGAATAATATCGTCAATAGGAAAATGACGGACTCCGTTTGCATGGAGTCACGCGGAGTCAAGTACGGTCATGAAGTCTGCTGTTTTCCCCTTGAAGCAGAATCATCTATTACAAATGTATCATTAATTTTTAGTGCCACTTTGTGCATTCGAGGTATTCAAAAAGTCATGATCAGTTACTGAATACAAAATCACTCCGCTGTTGGTGAGGCTTAATCAAAATCTTGTTTTTTCTATTTGAAATAGAAGATTAGTAAGTTTTGATTAGTAAAGATCAAATTCATTAAGTCTAGAGAAGATAACAGTTTCAGCTACAATTCAAAATTTAGAATTTTTTCTATACCACCAATACATACACCATTTTGTTTTCAATATACCCTTCAATTTTTGTCGTTATTATAGTTTTCAGATCATTCAGATCTTTGATTTTACTTTTCTATCGTTTGTTTGACATAGTTGAAAGCGATCGACACATTTCTGCATTTCTTTGCACTAAATCGTTCGCGGCGCTTCGAAAACTTTAGTAATCGTAGAAACGAATGTGTTAGATCATTTTAAGATTCAATTTTAACATTACAATAAACTATATAGTTTTTCTTTTGTAATAATATGCGTAACTTTTTAAATGGCTGGCGAAATCGATTCCGAACTATGGTTCTATGTGAATAGGAGATTGGTTCAAGGTACATAAGAAGCCATGTCTTTTTAATATAGTCACGTTGGGATCTAGATGGTTTAGACCGACTAGTTCGCAATAGGCTTCATGAATTCCAACCTAAAAGATTCACGTTGCTCGTTGAAGTTGCTCTTTAGCTGCTGTTAACGCAGATATACCAGATGCTGTTCGAACGATAGTCAAATATCGTTCTTATTAAGCATAAAAATTAATAGAAGACACTCAGAGCACCATTTCTTCACCAATATTTCTATTTGTTTAAACTTCTACGACGTTTCATACTGAACAAATGCATTATTAGCTCATAAATGACTGAAAGTAGTTCCGTATTGGATAGTCTCGTAATTTGCTGAAGAAATTTGGATACGGCAATTTCAATGTTGCATTTGACATGATCACTAGTGATCGATCTTAATTATATCATTCTAATAGAGGACAAGAAGTGTAGTCAAATGTCATAAAACAATCCAAGAGTAGGCAAAGTTTATCTAAACAGAAGTTCAAATAAGTGTACAATGCCATTTATTTTACACAATATAGCCGAACGACGCCCATTTTATTATGATGTAGTAAATAAAAGTTAGCCTAGCAATAGTTGCCTCGCATAAATTTTACATCTATATTAGAAAAGAAATAAAAGCTTGGCCTTCAACGTCTCAATTTTCATTATGAAGGCCGAAGGATATGGACATTCTAGACTCTGAAGTGCTTTGCCGTCCAAAATTATTTTCCACAGATATAAACTCATGTGACTTCTTTGTATTGCTAAGACTAGCATATCAATCACATAACATTAGAATCAACGACAACAATTTGATATTACACATGTTTGAACCAGCCATGAATGATCTCTCATAAATACCGATCTCAAACTTCACTTCGATGAGCTATTATAATCATATACGCCAGTGCATTGTTAATGAGAGATGGTACTTTGAAAATTAACACTAGAACTAGTCTTAGAATATCTCTCCAAAAAACTGACGAAAAAAACTTTTAAAGTGCCTCGTTGGTGTCTACCAAAGAAAAAGCAAACAGTTCGTGTTTATGATCTGTTTCTGAAAAGGTATTAAACGTTTTTAGTGAATTGTTGTTGAAGGACCTCGCTCTTTGCAGTAAAACTATGCTTTTGAATTTCGATCTGAGATTTTGCCTAGCTGGCGTACGTGAATTAAACAAGTTGATATAAAAAATTTCAGAGTTTTTGAGCCAAGTCTTTCAGGTATATGAAAATTTTAGCAATATATCTTGTATAAATTATCTATGGGAAAAGGTTTATACTTTGAAAAGTTCATATATTGGAAAAATTTGGTTCAAAAATTTTGAATTTTTTTATGCAACCTTGTCTATTGAAATCTTTAGCTGGGTAAAGTTTCAGATCGAAATTCGAAAATATGGTCTTACGACAAAAATGGGATTCTAGAACGAGAACTCACTAAAAATATTCGATAATTCCTGAAAAACAGACCATAAACACGAACTATTTTTGTGGTAGACATAGTTGATTAAGATCTATAAGATGTACTGAGTCCCAAATCAGAAGTGAATTGATACTTGGAAATGTTTGTTTGTAAATACCGTACAAAACATCCCAGCGATTTCATCTTGAAGAATTTTTCCAATAAATTTCATTTATTTCCTATTATGATATATTACTAATTAATTCAAAACCCATTGAATATTTTTTTTTCGTTTATTCATTTACACAGTTTCAAATATCATCAAATAATTTTCTTCAATAAATCGAAATAATTTATTTACAAATTAGTATAGGCAACGTGACAGTCATGTTTAGAACGATAAATAATTGTTAATAAATATGTGTTACAGTCAAACTTAGAAGTCCAGTTTCGTCTAAACAAAATTAGAATTGGACTAGAGGTAAATTGTTCAAGTTGAAGATAGTTAGAGCTTTAAAAAATAGTGGTGTTAGTGTGGATCTTCTCTTAATCCACAATCCAAAAGCACGTCCACACTATCGATGGAACTGATATTGGCAGTCGACTAGCATTATACCTTATCGTCTTCTTGAGTCTATTAGAAATAGTTGTTGAGCTTAAAACAGGCTTTTCTTAGGTAAATTATATATTGGTGATGTGTTTGCTAAGAAAGCAGGTTATTTGGAAGTTGCTGAATTAAATAATATAAATATATTATTTCTACAAGTTATTCAATTAACGTGGGATCCTTAAAATCCAAATGGTTGTTTGGATTGGTGAAGTTATGGTTCTCTTAACTATGCTAATAAATTAGCTCCACAAATGTTGGATATCAAGAAAATGATTGATATTATACGAGCTATCAATACTGCATCAGTTTCTAAAATATAAATTTTAAAATTTCGTTGATTACAAAATTGTAATATTAATTAAATTTCATTAAAAATATTGCAAGTATCTATTAGTCTAAATAAAATATTCTTTACTCTCTTGATACATCATCATTTAATAAAGAAACAAAAAAAAACTCCCGCGAACCGGAGTCGAACCAGTGACCTAAAGATTACAGTTATTATACATCTACAGTCTTCCGCTCTACCAACTGAGCTATCGCGGGCTCGTTATGTTGATTCTTAAGAATGAACGACCGAAGGCCACATATTTAAATGACTTATATATTTCAATAAAATTCTCTCTATTATTTGGTACCAATAAACTAAAAACTATAGATTAGAATGGCAAAATTACATGAACTATTTTATTGAAAATGTTCACCATTATCAATGCTAATGCAAGCAAACAATAAAATCATAACACCATACGCCAATAGTTATGTCAATTCTAGTACTTGAATGAATATGATGGTTGCAACACCATCTGGATCAGCTATTAAATTTATAGTAGAAGCTGCTGTTCATATACTTCTCTAGTTGGATTGCATGAACTAATCTATTTGAAACTAGAAACTATTTACAAAAAAAATTATTATTTCGTAGAAAATAATTTTACTCGTTCAAATAATAAAACACCAGATATGATCATTGTTTTTTTATTCCATGAATGTATAAGACAATGATAGACTCGTATATTATATAGAAATATATTTAACTACAGCTGTTGCCGTTATTTCATCAGTTGGCTCCTTTAAATTGTAATACTTTCAAAGGCGACATCGTTCTTACATGAGGTCATTTTATATGTAGTCAACATCGAAATCATCAATATTTCTAGTTGTATATCATCACATAACTTTAATAAACAAAAATTTCGAAATTATGATATAATACAAATTCAACTAAAATCAAGTTTCCTTTAAAAAAGTACATATTTTAATAAAAATTAATATTCGACATATATTTCTTTTTCTAGATTAATTCAAAATAATATCAACGAGTAGATAAATCAAACAAATATTGTATTAACGTTATACATCAAGAATTCTAACAACAATCTTCAATTATAGAATTATTTTTAGATTCAATCAGGATAACTTTCATTAAAATAAAAAATTAATGATAATCAATCAAAATTAGTTGCATCTATTTAATTTCTTTTACAAACAAAATAGCTTTGATATTAATATTCATCGATGAAAAATAATTTACTTTAGAGAAAAGAAAAGAAAAAAAAGAGTCCCGCGAACCGGAGTCGAACCAGTGACCTAAAGATTACAGTTATTATACATCTACAGTCTTCCGCTCTACCAACTGAGCTATCGCGGGCTCGTTCAGTCTTTCAGAGAAGTAACTATTGAACCTATGAGCAAAGCACAAGTATTTTTCATGAAAAAATAAAGAGATTTAGTTCATTATCAAATAATGAGTTCAAAATAATAGAAAAAAATCTAGGATCTGCAACGCCTTGGCCGTTGCGAGATTCATTACTCTATTAGTTTCTTATGATAACATTCAAAATTGATACTTCATAATTTGAACAAATTTAACAAGTACGAATTCTACTTCAGAATGCGATTCATTTTTCCAACTGAAATTCTGATACAATAATAATAAAAGAAACCAATAAAAATAATATTATTGAATTGATTCAACATAGTGAATGGTGTATTATTTTATATGAAATTAGTAAACATTCAATGACAATATGTTTTTTCCTTTATGCTTAATTAGTATATTAATGACTAATCGATGTAATAGATACAATTGAAATCTAAACGGCTATTGATGTATCATAACTGATAGCAATAAGGATATAAAATAAGTTTTAATAACGCCAGAGATAATGTCATGATCTTTTTTATGGCATACTTCACGTGCGGAGGCGAGCTCAAATTATTATTTATTTATCATTTCGCATTTTATTTTTTTCTGTGGTGGCATCAATCGCTTATAGAAATGACCTTGAACAATACAAATAATCTTGTATGCACTAAAGAAGATAAAAATTTTGTATTAATTATTCTATTAATTGTTGGTGGATGGTCATCGGTTGTTACCTGTATATTAGGCTTATTAGGTAACACATTTTCAATAATTGTATTAGCAAATAAACGTATGAAAACATTGTCAACTAATGTATATTTAATCGCATTAGCAGCTGTTAATCTTCTTTGGCTTATTTTATTCTTTATATTCTATGCTCTTCGTTTTACTATTGTTATTCCGTTTTTTATTTCGAAAAATCAAGAAAATTTATACAGCATCTATAATGAAATGTTTTATCAGTGAGTGTTATGCATGCTTTAATTATATATTATATATATATATATATAGGTTATCACCATATACTATTCCACTAATGAATACTCTTCAATTATGTATAACTTATTATACAGTAGCTGTTTCTGTTGATCGTTATTTATATGTTTCAATGGGTTTAAATGCTAGCCAATATTGTACTATACGAAACGCTTTACGTATAATATTATTATTAACAATATTTGCAATTATTTTTATGATACCACATTGGTTTGAGTTTCGTGTTATTGCACAAATTGACACTGCAAATCGAACTTATTATACAAAATCATGTAAGTACAAAACTTAAATTTATTATTATTGTTCTTTTAATTCTATTAAACTTTATAGATACGTTTATTGGTCAAAAAAAAATGTTTCGTGAAATTGTTAATATTTATATTTTTATTCCAATCGTATACGTTATACCATTTGTTACATTAATATTAATAAGTATTTTAACAATACGTCGACTTGTACAATATCATGATGAACATCGTCGTTTATTATCAACATCAATTCGACAAATGGCAATGTTAAAAACACATTTAAACTATTCACGACGACATCATCATGTAACAATAATGCTTATAGCAGTTGTACTTTTATTTCTTTTATGTCGTTTTCCAATGCTTATTAATCAAATTTATGAAGTTCGAAATCCAACAACAGGTAATTATATATTAAAAGATAGTCTTTATTTTCGATGTCGAATTCAACGTATATTTGATACGTTTGCTAATTTTATGCAAACAATTAATTCTATTGGAAATTTAATTATTTATTTATTGTGTTGTCAACATTTTCGTGAAACATCAAAAGATTTATTTGAAAAATTATTAACTTATATGAGAGCACAATCAAATGAAAATTTATTATTAACGACGCAACCGCGTTCAAGAGGAAGTACACGTTTAACATATACATAAACAAAACAAATTTATGATTCATTACATCTACACTAAAAATATTTGGAAAGAAAATGTTTTAGACAATAAATCAATTTTGTTTTTGTTTCATTAAAATAAATAAAAAGTTATCTCACCTATACTTTGATGTTGTTTGTTACTCTAATAAAAATAATAAATCAGCACTGGAAAACATTCACATAATGTTTCAATTAAACATTTCAGTTTATATTCACTATGAATGATTGTCAAATCTATGTTAATGTTTTTTTTCGAGAGAATAATCATTTATAGTTATTTAACAGACACAAGTTAAATCACGCTGAAAAGTCTATTTGGCTCAAATAGATGCCATGTTTTTGTTCTTAACTGCTACTTAAAGATGGTTGTATTATGAACAAGAATTTTGTCTCAAGACTTTTGCAAGAGAGTTTAGTGATAGTGTATTATCAAAATGATACTATTTGGCAGTCATCTTTTATTTTATTTTATGATTTTACGATTTCTACAAGTTAAATCAGATTGGGGACGATGCAATAGAGGAACGATGATTTCCCTGCTGCTTTTGAAAATTTGATGGCAACTTTCTCCAATCTTGGAGAAAACTTCTGATGAATTTTCTGCAATTCTGAAGAAATTCGAGCTATATCTGTCTTCGATTTGTTAAGACTTAGGCTACGCTTTTCTCTCATTTTAGATAAATTATCAGAACTCTGTGTTTTTGCAAATTGCAGGAGTTTTTGTAGACGATTTCTCCGTTTAATTTCAAATGCTTCAGATAGCACTTTTCCGATTCTGTGTAGTGCAACTATTTTATACTAATAAAATAGCGATTGAATTTACTGAAAAGCTTGACTACTTTCCGCGAAAAGTCTAGGTGTTTTTGCAATATCTTGAGTTTTTCTGACAAAATAGTTGAGAATGATTCATTAAAACTTCTCAAACAATCGCACAAGCTTTATCACTCTTGTGGTCAAGCAATGAACTTGAAAACATCTTTTTATTCTCTGACGACAACATGAATTTGTCTATTTTTCTGAAAGCTTTGTACGTTGGCAAAGGTTTCTGATCTCAATGCAAGAACGTTTCTGTTAGAAAAGCTTCAACAAAAGATACAATCTTCTAAGACTCTACTTCGAAGTTTGCTACGCAACAAATGATTTGGAATTCAATATAAATTTGCTCACGAGTCTCGAAGTTTGATTTTTATGTAAATGTCAGTCGAAAATGACGGCATATTTTCATATTTCTAACTGCGAGGAAAATTTACATTATATTCACTGAATTTCGATTACCTCGAAGAACTATCGTTTTGGGCCAAAGCTTTCTCCGATTTTAAGAAATAGTTTCCTTCTGTTTTGACCCCTTCGCATCGTTGCTGCATCTGATACTTTAAATCACTATCGAATATTAATATTTGTTTCTCATAAAAAAAGAAAATAAATATGATTATTATTATTATTTTATGGAAAAAAAACTCAGAACTTCAATCATTACTATGAAAAATACGTAGTTAATACTGGCATCATAAATTTTTGCAAACATGCTTGTCCTTAGATGAATTTGTTCTTCTTTTTATTTCTTTAACTTCCGTCATATTACAAGTTAATATTCATATCACAAGAATGTATGACATACGTGACATATATTTCTTTTCATATATTTGAAAAGTGTAATTGGTTGGTAAAGCCTCGAGCTCCTTTTTTTATTTTTTACCTGCATACAGAAAGGTAACGAAAATCGATTACGATAAATTTAGCTTTTTTCTTTTTTGCTTCCGAGAATAACATAATGAACCCATGTCCTCAAAATCACCACACTTTGGACGATTAATCGTGATTCTCAAGAAAATCGCCCATTAAATTGGGCGATTAATCGGTGATTTTTGTCGAAATGGCACATAAATCGCGATTCCCTGTGAAAAATCACCAAAACTCGCGATTTTCTCGTTAAAAATCGCCAATTTCAGCGATTTTATCGCGATTTACCAACTCGATTAATCGTGAGATTAAATCGCGATAAAATCGTCGATTTCCCCTTAAATCTTCACATCGCTAATATTATGGGAAATTCCATGACATCATTCATCTTTTCGTCTCACTATATCAGCAGCTCTATTTTTCTTCGTGGTGAACCTCTTTGGTTGTTTTATTCCCTCTTTTTCTATAAATTATATTTGTTACCGTTCAATTCAGTTCTTACTCTGGAACAAGAAACATGAAGAAAACGGAGTCGAGGAGGGCCTTGCAATATCAGTCTAATGTCATCTACCTATTTCATGAAAGTCCTGTTGTTTTTTAAGGGCCCCCACCCCTCAAAAAAAAGGAATTTTCGACAAAAATATCGATTTTTAAATTTATACATAGTTAGATAGCCCATTATCTCTACTTTCGAATGCACTATAATTTATTGGTTTTTTGATGGTTTTGAGAGTTTTACAACGGTTTTTCTGAAGACCCCTGCATCAAAAAAATTTTTTTTCGAAAACATCAGTTATTAAAGTTATTAGAACTTTTCTATACGTTTGAAAAAAAGTACGTCGTACATGTCTCTCTATGTGCTCATTCGATTCACCATAGTCGATAACCTATAATAAACTGCCTTCTTGTTTATTCACTACCATTTTTAAACGAAAAAATCGCGATAATCAAAGAAAAAATTGTTTTGTGTTTTTCTCGAAACTGTTTTTTTTCGTTTTCTTTGACTGTGTGTTAAAGATTTCTCCGCCATTTTAAATGTTAGAATGCTCGGGAAGGTTTTAAAATGAAGGTAAATATCAGTTCTACAACCTAACAAAGCCAGAATTTTTGTTTTCAATTTATTTNTCCCCTTATCATACAAAAAGATCACATAGCACAAACTGATGTGCTGATCGGTCGAATTGTATACCTAAGGTGGCTAACGTATATGACTTTATTGATCAATTTCAATGATGTTATATATCCATCATTGGGACCCATTTTTATAGCTCTCTAGCAGAGGCAAAATTACTCAATTATACAATACTAATATTTTTACTTCATTTGGTTTTCGATGATCAAACAGAAACGGAAAAGATATGCTTCAAGCGGGAATTGAACCCAAGACTAAATTACTGGTTATCCGGGCCAGCGCTCCAACCATTGAGCTATCGACGCACGACAAACATATATTTTCGTTCTGAATGAATGTTTAATCATCGATAATTTTAACGTCGACACGCTGTGTACGACGCACTTGAATATAACGCTGCTATTTTTTATCAAGTGTATATGATGGTGATTATTTCTCCTCTTACGAGGGTGAATAGAATTATTCAAAGGGTAGAAAGGAGTATATGTAATTTTATACAATACTAATATTTTTACTTCCTTTGGTTTTCGATGATCAAACAGAAACGAAAAAAATATGCTTCAATCGGGAATCGAACCCAAGACTAAATTACTGGCTATCCGGACCAGCGCTCTAACCATTGAGCTATCGAAGCACGACAAACATATATTTTCGTTCTGAATGAACTTTTAATCTTAGAAATCAAAGTAAAAATATTAGTATTGTATAAAGGATGGGTGTGGGGTGTGGGTGTGGGTGTTTATGTCAACTGACCCACACCCACACCCACACCCACACCCCATCTTGTACGAACCCGTAATTTTTCAACTTTGTCTAAAGCTTTTGTTTTTCCTGCTTCATTCATTGCTGTTAATTTAAACAAGATTGTAGCTTTATCAGAAAATGAAATAAGTGATAATCGATCTTGATCTTGAAGAGAATTTATAATTGTTTTAAGTGCATGTTTAACCAAATCTAACTGAGATAGTCCATAATGCTCATTTTTATCATTTTCAATTTCAGCTGCAGGTGACATTGAACCTGATGTATCAACTACACAACAAATATCACATGGAGAACGAATCTCATTTTGTAAAGGTTGCATAGAAATGTGCACAAATTCATTATCTTGAGTTGCAGATAATATAATGTCGGATGAGAATGTTTCCATTGGTGATAAAGTGAATTCATGAGTAACTGGACCATGTGAAAATGCTTGAGAATCATCCATGTTCGAAATCAGATTGTTTTTCGGATTAATTAGTACACAAGAAGTTGCTTAGCTGTTTTACAAACGAATACATTTTTTTATATATGACATGTGAAATTGAAGATATAATGCTGGAATTGTTACTTTACGAATCATAATGACACAGGGATGAAGCATAACGGGATAAAATTGCGACAGTAAAAATGTTTTGTATACGTCAGAAATTGCTTTTTCAGCACGTCTGTACGAGAAAAAGCAACGTGTGTCATTATTGACGTTTTTTGTTTTTGGGCAGAAAAGTGAGTAAACATGGAGTAAGCGATAAAGAATGCGTCACGTGTAATTGCATGCTTTCGAAGAAATTACTCTTTTAGTATTTACTAGTTTGAGTAATAGTGGGTATATGTTGTTGATGTAAGTACGAGCCTATGTATATAGAATTTTTATTTTGAAGCATGTAAATAATATTGTCTAAAAGTATTGAATTTCAAGGATGCATTTTTTGTTAAAAGTATGCTTATTACTCATTTATGGGTGACCGATCACTTCGTCGCACGACACTTCGTCGCATTCACTTCGTCGCAGAATTTTTTTCTTTCTGTTCGTCGCAGATAAATTTCTTTCTCTATGCTCATCACTATCCATTCGTTGCATATATCTGTTAATTATTTTTTTTTAATGAAAGATGTAAAATTGATGAGTTTGCTCATATTTATTTTGCACAGAATACAAAAAATAATGATGAACAAATTCAAAAGAAAAAAAAACAAAAACAAAAAAAAAAAGAAAAACCAAAAAAGAAAGAAAAACCAAAAAGAAAGAAAAACCAAAAAGAAAATAATCTAAAGAAAAAGAAATCTAAAGAAAGAAAGTAATTTAAAAAAAAATACTTAAAGAGTAACATTGGCTGCCATATTTTTTAAGAATTCATCCAGTTGGGATGCGTCGAATCCATTGACCAGTCATTCATTAGCCAAGTAACAAATTTAATTATTCATCGCTCGCTTTAGCTCTATCACGACTGTATTGGAATAGTATTTTTTTTTTTGTTGATCCCTTTTTCCAATTAATCATCTCGCTCTATTGTGCATATCTCTTCTAATTTTTTTCATTTATTTTATGTTATTTCCATTGGTTATTAAAAAAAGAACTGATTAAGAGCGATGCAGCAAGTAGACAGAAACGAACAGAACGAAAAAAAAATTTTGCGACGAACAGAACGAAAAAAATTCTGCGACGAACAGAACGCGACAAAATGTCGTGCGACGAAGTGTACTAGTGCCTGCTGTTTGTATTAAAAAAGATGTAAACTTTACAAAAGCAATGTGGTAGGAGTGACAGACTTTTTAATCTTTCTTTCTTTTGTGTGTACAAAGTGATTGGAAAAAAAGATCTAGTGTCTTTATTCTGCATGCAATATTATATAGAAATTATATATTTCAATTTTAAATATTCTATGATATATCCTAAAAAATTGTTATCTTTATTACATATTTGGAAAAACAAAATTTTCATCATTATAATTGTTTTCATATATTATTTTTATTTTTACCAATCTCTATTATTTTACAATAAACATTTTAATCCATCATTACCACTTATTTTACTTTATACGCATAATCGTTCAGCTAAAACACGGAATCATATTTGTAAAGGTATTCGAAATGGTGGACATGTTGTTAATTTTGAAAAATGTCCAAAAAAATGTGAATTTTCATGTCAAATAAAAGATTTTAAACAACGTTCACCACTGGCGGTACTTTTTTTTGGTGAAGATTTTTATTGGTCTTTTAAATTAACTGATCAAAATCGATCATCATTCAAAGAAAGATGGATATTCTGGTCATGGGAAGCACCTATTAATCATCCAGAATATACTCGATCTCGTTTAACATTCAATTGGTTTGCTACTGATTTTGTGTTTGAATTTTCTTTTTGCTATATTCTTTCAATTTAGGACAATGACTTATCGACAAGACTCAGATATTGTACATGACTATGGTCGATATATTGCACGTAATTTATCATATACAATACGTGATTATCAAGTGATCGACTTTTATTTATCAAAAAAAAATAATCAATCAACATTTGATGCAAATAAAGAATCTAAAATTCGAGAAAATAAAATTTTATGGATCGTATCAAATTGTAACACTCGAACAAAACGACATAAATTATCTGTTAAATTAAGTAAATATTTTCCAATTGATCAATATGGTCGGTGTTCATCATTAAATGACAAAAAAAAACAACTATCATCAAAAGATTTTGAACAAAAACTTTTTAAATATAAATTTTATTTAGCTTTTGAAAATGCAAATTGTCAAGATTATATTACTGAAAAAGCATTTTATAATGCCTTAGCACATGGAAGTATTCCAATTGTACTTGGGTCAAATGAAAATAATTATAAAAATATTTTACCACCAAATTCATTTGTTCATATTGAACATTTTAAGAATTTAAAAGATCTTGCTGATGAACTAACGAACATAAGTAAAAATTTAGATATATTTAAATCTTATCACCAATGGCGTATTAATTATCGATTAATAGTATGGCCATCAAATTATTTTATTGACAATCTGTTTTGTAATTTATGCATTAAATTATATGAAGATGAAAAACAAAAGAGTTATGCAAATTTTTCAGCATGGTTGAATAAATGTAAATAATTATTATTCAGATTAATAGAATTTGATAGAAAATAATAAAGCAAAGTTTGTTTTTTTCTGACGGGGGGAGGGAGCAAATTTCAATACGGAAAAATTCATTAGAAAAAGAAATCTTATCAGAAGAAACGAGAAATGCTTGTTACACATTTTCTCAAATGATATATACAGCAGTGGACCATTGGACCAGTCCATGGGGGAAGTCGTTGCACTTTATAGGGAAATGCTTCACCCCACATAAAGTCATACATACCAAGGAGTATTGGAAAGAAAGAATAACAAAAATATATATATATATACATATAATCTATTGTATGATACTGTGTATATACTTGAATACAGAGAGAAATGATTTTTCTTTCACGGGGAAATGGTTCTTATTCCAAAGCGAAATGCTTAGACCGTATCGCCTTATCCACAAAGCAATCAATCTCGTGAAAGAAGCATAATGATGGCACTATTTTCTAGCACTAGTTCCATGTTTAAATTCAAGTAAATAAATTTTGTTTTGTTGTTAATTTTGAGTTGGATAATCGAGAAGGACATTATTTATTGCATCTACCTTCGAATGATAACGAATAATTACCTCTGTTCATTTACTCTGTCTAAGTTAACATGCAACTTTCACGCAATCATTCTCAATTCAAACAGAAACAATAAGAATGAATTTCCATTTAATCGAACTTTTTCTGTATAATTATTTTTTTATATTGTGATGAAATTCTGTTTTCTGGATCGAATATTTTAGTGAACGCTATAAATCCAACGAACGATTTCGGAACAATCTCAAAGTGACCGGCATGCTACAACTTAAAACAGAAATGTGCATTTCTCAAAATTTAACACATTATATTCGGCCATTTTGCGTAATACTACCAACTCGATGCACATGCCATCGTCTTGGCTATTATAAATGGCGTAGATGCCACATGTCGTTTCACATATGTCCACCTTGCTTCTCATTTTCTAGCACCATGCCACTTATACAATCTCATGGTGAAGCAATTCTTCTTCAAAAATTAGCATTTGTAATGGGGAAAAACCACATCTACTCGAAGCATCCGTTAATATGCTAAAAACATCCTTTCTCTCTATCTGTTTTCAACTTCTGCTTATGAATGGGGATATGGATGAAGCATTTCTCCTCAAAAAGTAACCATTTCTAGTACGAATGTCCCTTAAGATGAAAAAAATAAAATGATCCATTTCTCTCTAAGTCTTTTCCACTTCTTCTTGTGAATGAGACTTGGATGTAATAGTTTTCCTCGTTTTTCTTCCTTTTCCTTTGTGGGGTGAGGTGGTCGAATGAAGGTGATGTGTTTGCGAAAAAGCGTTTCTCTTTGACTTTATGTGGGTAAACATTTCTGCTAGAAGTGGAACAGTTTCTCTTTGATAGGGGGAAATGATCCAGCCCTCATTAGTCAAGGAAAGTTTATATGTCTGCAAGTTCAACTATCGTTGTATCCTCATAATCTATATAATCTGCAATTTGCTTAGAAGAATGTTGAGGAATAAATTTACTATGTTATATCTGGCAGCTATATTGAACTGTTTAGCTTATTTTCTCAATGAATGATAATAAAAATAATCTCCAATTGTTTGATAATATTCCAAAAAGCAACATCTATCAAAAGTGAATATCATTTCAAATATTTTCTCATCAACTTTATTCATTAAGGTCTATTACATTTTATCATTCAACCGTACATTTATTGATACAAGTATACTATAAAAATAATCATTGAAAAGTTCCACTAGCAAGTATTTTTATCTCGCTTGAGTAAGTAATATGACTGCAAATAAACTGTTAACGAATATTTTTAAAGAGAAATAATAACATCATTTGCCTATGGCCATGAATTCTTTCAAGATGTTTTCGTACTTGCGAAGAAAATTCTATCCCCATCGTCTTCATGATCAGTAAAGTCGTCATTTCTATGCTTCGCTAAATCATAAATCACTTCTTCACGATCAATTATTCCATGAATTCATTGTTTATTTTCGTGATTATGTACTAAATCAATATGATTTGCATAACAACCAATACGAACAATTGTAGCCAATCTAGGCATAGTTATCTATAGAAATAATATTGATTTGATTATCTCAATAAAGTTTCTGTACTTACAGGTAAAAAATAATCCTGATCTGTACTTGTATCCTATACAGTATACCCATAATTATAAGTTACTTTTTTTTCAATGAATTTGGTATTGAATGCGTTAAATGACTTTCAAAATGAGATTCCATTAGATTAGTTGATACGAATTTTGATCGTAAATTATTTTAATATTTTTAGTTAGTTGGAATATATATGATGATCACTAAACAAATAACCATTGATATTCTTAACATTTAAGAAATTGATTTATTTACTCTTTGAACAGGAAGTAGCATTCGTAAACTAAATAAATATAATAAAAATGTAGAAAATAAAGAAGTATTTAAGATCTTGTATACATTCTCATAATAGTCATACAATCTTTTGATCATGGTTTTAAATTAACATTGACCAAGTAATCGATGCTATTTTTAATTATATTGATTGTCAAAATGAAGAAAAATCCGACAAACATCTAAAATAAAAAGAGCATAGAATAATAACACAAATTAATTGTGTATTACTTTGTGTATGCATTAACACAAATAAACTATTCAATATTCTTTTAACAGACTAGATGGGATTTGAGTTTCATTCGACTGCAAAATGCAATGCGAAGCTTCGAATGTCGATTATCGGTTTTGACTATTTATCATAAAACGTTTCCCTTCGAAAGATATTGAAGTTTTACTGGAATCAGGTTTTTTGGCATTGTAAATTGAAAGAGATACGCACCCATCAACTAGTTGATCGGAAAACAAAATGAAAGTGAAAAGTAGCCATATTGAAATGCATTGCTACACATTTCGGCAAGGGGTTTGAATTAACATAAGAGCGATAAACGATTTCACCTAGAGTCGATCTTGTCATGTCAAAGGTTTTCATTATTGTTCCTGCTCATAATAGCTAGCCGAAGGCTAGTTCATCACTTTTAATTATCTTGGGTAAAAGATGAAAGTCCAATCGTCGAAATCACCGTTCCGCAAAACTTACTGAAGATGAACAAAAATTCATATTGAAGATTTAAAAAAACGTTTGTATCATCTCAAGGCATAAATATTTCTGACAAAGTTCGAAGAAGGCCACTAAAGCTTTTTTATTCTTTCCTTTGTCCCAATTCGTCCCTTATTGAGTAATAAAGGGGCTTAAGATCGACGCTGCTAGGTAGTCATTGTGATGTCAGTCAAAAATTCCAGATATGATGTTCGTAACAGGAATAAAATCGGTTCTTGTGTTTTTAGAATCGAATCGATATCATCTCTGGTTCGACTGCGTATGAGCGTAATATAATCAGTGCGTGGCATTTCCCATTAACTTTAGGTCATTTTGTCATGCGATTGGTAATATTTCCTCAATATAATGTTGATGGTTGATCATACCTACTTCGATGATAACAGGACGCGTGACACCATCATCACACGCTCTTAATCATACCATGAGAAAATTTTGTTTTCTGATAGATTCTTTCACTTGCATCAGCTTGCTAACAATTCGAAGCCCGTACCCTGTTATTTAAACGATTGTATATGATATCGATATTAATCAGTTTTTACAAAAAAAGAAAATTTTCCTGGATAAAGGTTTTCCGACATTTTCTGCTCCATCAGCAAAACGATAATCTTTTTTCACTTTTGTGCATTGGTTAGCTTCGTCGCAACACGTTTCACAAATGACTTGAACCCAAATAATTTTTAATTATTCTTTGCAGAGTTGATCTTGAGACATTATGCATCTCGGCGAATTGTTTTGTCGGCGTCTTCTTTTTGATGTAAAGACGATGGTGATTCGTTCGATGAATTATTGTTTTCGTTCGCTTTCGACCTATAGTTGTTTACAAATGTATTGATCCTGATTCTTTGAATATTTTCATCCTTCGTCAGATCGTTGATTTCTCAATTTCACTAACAAGTATAGTTTCGAAATCTGTCAGCCAGTTATTCCTTGTTCATGTAATCGTGGTACAGCATTTTGCATGTCTTCACTTTTCATGTTCTTTTTGTAGAAGAAGGAACTATCTTAATTTACAACTTGGTTTGATAAGTGAAAACGAAGTCTTGAATTATGTTTGCATTACTCAAGAAAAGAAAAGAAAAGAAAAGAAAAGTGTCCCATTCTCTATAAGTCACTCATTATAATAATTAGAGTATTAGTGAACGGTCATTTCGCTTCTTTTTTGTAGTCAAATCAATGAGTAAGCATGTTCAGTCGTCAATATGAACATTTGAGATCAATAGGGTTGCTAATCTCTACTTTTCATGTTTTATGATCTCATTTAACAAACAATTTTCTGAGATTTTTGTTTGCAAATTAAAATCGACTTCTCTATCATGCAACAGTTTATATTTATATATATTGTTTAATCATGCGCCTACAGTTCAATTCAATAATGTCTAGTAAAAAGAAACAAGAAATTCGTTTTAATCTCAATTCTCCTATAGTAACAGTTAGCGAAGAGGTAGAATATGTATTTCAATATTTATTATTTAATCGTACATTTTATTTTTAGTCAACCACAGTTTCAAGTCGAAGTAGAACTGAAGTCGAAAAGCCATCAATAAAAACACGAAAACCTCCACCAGTTCTTCCGCAATTATTACCATATACACCACCTGATGCACTAATGTTTCGTTTATTCAATGCTATTCAACGTAGAGCATGGATAAGAGCAAGAAGATTATGCTATGAGCTTATATTATGTGATCCATTAAGAAAAAATTATCGTGATCTTTATTATAAAATTGATCAAATTATCACACTTATTGATCGACGTGTTCGTCCAAAAGCAGCAATTGCAAGTCGAGTAGAAACTACAAGTAGAGCAACAACTGCAAGTAGTAGTAGTTCTGATGAGGAAACAATAATTCAACGATAAACATATGATAGAAAAAATGTAATATGTCATTCTTCTTTCAAAATAAAAAAGAAAAGAAATTCTGAATTGAAAATGTTTGACATAGTTATATCTTCAAATAAATTTCATAACAAAATTAAAAATATTTATATTTTAGCGAAAGTATTTATTACATCAAAATAAAAATGAACTATAAAAAGTTATTAAAATATAAATAAAGTCGATTTTTATGTAATGAAATTTTTCTTCCGTAGCTTCCAAATTGCGGACAAATATCAAACCAATCAGTAGACCGACAGTGTGGGTGAGGGCGCAAATAGGTGTGATTTTTGACCTCAATTTGGAAGTAGCCTTTTCTTCATATATATCTTAAGAGAATATTTAGTGTATTAACGAACTTCATTACTTTTGATTTTGATTTTATTATTTTACAATCTAATCAAATAAATGAAATATTACAATTATTACTGGCTTCGATATGTTGCTTATTAATTTTCTAGATAAATGTTATTTATTATGATTAGTTTTTGCAAGATAAATATTTGATTTCATTGAATTTTCAAACAATAGCACATATATGTAATAAGCGTTTTTCTATGATTTGAATTTTTGCGATGAGATAATTCACTATGGTTATCTGATTCATTAGTATTATCAATCATTGATAGATACATCATAATTCAAAAGTTGATTGACTATGTTCAATTATAAATTTGTTTGCATAATTCAAACAAAATTAACAGTAATTACATTTTTTGCTTAACACATAGATTTGATGAGTCATCATCCAAATGTGTAGTTCTTTGTTTTACAGTCAATGGCATTGGTAACTGATTTTCTTCTTCTAGATGATTTATTGTTTCATATTTGCATTCAATGGAGTATGATGTCAAGTGATTTTAGTAAATGAATTTTCTCGATTGAAATAATGTATTTTTGGCCAAAAAAATTATCAAAAACATTAATCATAGATCAATTATCATTTTCTTTTCATAATTCCGTTGTAATCTTAAATATATAATACTTTTTTTTTGCTATGGTCATTGAAAATCGAGATCTATGAAACATTCGATATGATAAAGTTCATTACGGCCATCATTTTGACGAATTATCCACCGTAAACCATCAGTTAGGTACAATATTGGAAATCGTTAGAAATAGAAGCCCAATATCTAATGTACAAATCAGAAACAATACCTATATAAATTATATGATAGAACGAGTGCACTCAGAAGAGTTAGAGCAGTGACCATTACGATCAATGACTTATCAATAGCAGGAATTAAAATCTTTTCTTAAGTATTAAAACACAAGAGATTCATACAAATATGTTTTCACTATGATTGTAGACATATTTGATGTGATTGTTTCACATAAATAACTAAGAGAAGCACATACATCAGCACTAGACACATAGAATTTGAAAAACTATCGAATTGTCTGTGGATTTTGATTAAGAAAATAGAAAAGAATTGAATAATAATTCTATGCAATATAAAACACTTGGAAAAACAAGTTGACTTCTACTTGGTTTCTATATTATAGATTTAAAAAAGGTCTTAAATCAAACATTGCAAGATTAATTGTTACAAAACTAGTAAATGAAAATGTCGCCATATCAGAAATCTTCTCTATTGAATCATTACTACGAATTGCAATTAATTTTGACATAAATTTTGGACCAACTGTTACCGGTGTGCAGGAAATTTCATCTCGTACTTCAATAATTTGAAATGAAATTATATGTGTTAATGGAACCATAATTTGAACTAGCAATTGGACACATATGGCACTGAGGAAAGTGTCATTTGATTATAAGGGAAAGTTTTCGATCTATAGAAAAAAAAACATCATTACATCTTTCTAAAAGAAAAGGAAACTAACTATAACAGTAACGGAATGTCAATCTCAAATGATTTTACTGTTTATTATAATCGTACAAATAGAAAATAAATGATTGTATTTAATGAATGTAAAATGAAACTACAAACATTTTCGCATTCATCGATTCTATTTGCTTGTGTAGACAAACAACAACGAACATTATTTCCATATATTAATATCTCTGACTGCTACACTTATAATTTTTATTTCATCAACAGGAATCTTAATCAAAGGTATCATTGTAGATACTAATGCATTATTAACCTAAGCCGTTATCAGATCTTAATGTTAAATTGATATTTGAACAGGTTGACCAAGGCACATCAGCATTTCTTTTTAGATTGCTTTAAACAATAGTTCGGAAGGTTACAAAAAAAAAACATTTCCTAGCATTAAAATAATTTCGTCTAAACATTATTCAGCCATAGTTCTAAACAGTGTTAAAACATTTCTAAAGTATGTTTTCATCAATGAAGTGACATAAACAGGAGAAACAGTCGGGCAGTTACTAATACCACGAAGATGCAAAGTATATAATGTTGAATGAGATTCTTTGAAGATAACAAATTAATTATTTACAATCACATTTGGTGTACACGTAATACACTCCATATGTTAAAGTATAAGTTTCTCTAATAACAATATATAGAAGTACTCCAGTAGATAATGCTTTTAATAGATATCATGAGATGATTATATCAATAGAATGATTTCCATTTTTGAAAACAAGATTGAACACTAATAATATAACAAGGAGAATGTAGTATACGATTAGGTTATTCTGAATGAATCTATTTAAAAAATTATCGGACAACATAGTAAGATATACGACCAAGATATGCATATACAGATTATCTTTTCAAGATCTTCATAAGATCTTGCTTATAAGATGTTCGACTAGGGGCGTATACGGAAAAAATACGACTGCCAACAATGCTGCTACCTCTTCCGCTTTTAGCAGAAAATTTCTGCTTTTTTCTGTCGTTTCTGTTTGTTTCTGCTTTTTCAAATATCTTATCTATTATACTTTTATCTAACATTTGTTACACTATGCTATGCCATTTTTTTCAAAAATGTGAAGGAAAATTCTTAATATCTGGCGATATTTGTGTCGTATACTTATTTTAAACTAAGCTTAATTCTTGTTTTTTGCTGATTACGAAAAACTTGCAATCCATATTCTTCATTCTTACTCCATTGTTTACCTATGGCTTTCTTTCTATAATGATTTAGGGTGGATGGATGTGTTTGTATAGATATTAGCCATGAAACCGCTCATGTAGAAACCAAACACAGATTGGACGTGTCTGGATGCAGCTAAAATGAAGCAGCTGATCGCATTTTTTCCTGTTTTATGCGAAAAACACATGTGCATGTGTCAAATGTTTCATTTTAGTTGCATCCGAACGTGTTTATATGCAGAAGTAAGAAACGCAGTTCAAATATGAACTCAGTCAAGCGCATCTACATGGATGCTAAACGCGTTCTGCTGTGTTTAACTAAATAAAGTGTATTCAGACACATGAAATTCTTCCTGAAAAATGTATTTCGAAAACACAAAGAAACGCTTTTTCAGACGTGCTTATATACTCCGAAAATAGCTACATGGACGATAGGTGTGTTTTTGAACCTCAAGCGAAAAAATCTCAAACTAGATCGATACCATTTCTAATACATATCGATTTCACTCATACAATCAAGATTTGTTGAAAGCTATTAAAGCGGATGAAAAATACACGTTCGAAAGAAAACTTACCCATTACGTCTATTTGTATATTTATATAACTAGGTTTTTTATTGATTTTGTACAATACAGATAGAAGATGATTGTTGCCAAACGTTTTAGTTATGTAATTAAGTAAACGCTTAAAAGATCTTTTATTATCAGAAATATACTTTCTGCTTTTTGACACTAAAACTTATGTCGTTTTCTGATTTTCTCGAACGGCAAGATGTGGCAGCACTGAATGTTACTATTACTTCAATAACATCATAAAATGTCCTACAGTTTAGTGCCAGATGTTATAAAACGAGTTTATCCATAATCTTCTCTTCATATTTCGAAAGCTCGAATTAATATTTTTAAGTAAACCAAAATTTGTATTAGTTAATGAAAAAGTGTCCTTCGATTAATCTACAGCATTGAAAAATAGTCGATTCTATGGTTATTTTATGTTGAAAGAAAATGAAAGACATCATTGACAACTGTCTAGAAGAACTATCATTTATTTACTTTTTTCCTTTCTTTTTTATGTTCTTCTGCCATTTTGATTTAGTTATTCATTACAGCTAACATACATGAACTTTCTGTTGTAAAACGATTTGTGTTCAGTTTTGGAAGGAAGATAGGAAATAGCGCGAGAAAATATAAAAGAAAATAGAAATATATGACACGTAACGTTTTGCTTGTCCACTACTTCTAGCTTTGCATATATTTCTTCAACACTTATAATTCCTTCAATTATCAATATGTACGAGAAAGTACAAAGCGACGAACATTTCGAATGGCAATGGTATTCATTTAAAACAAATAAAATTGTTAATCATTGATCAGTTACTGCCAGTAATGATGCATCTCTCAAAGAAACTATCATTGTAACGAAAGTATTTTTTTCGCTAAATTATTTTTCTTATATTGTTCATTGTAACATAAGAAAATCAGTAGGAAATGATTCCGAACTGACTATATTTAAGAATGAAATACANCAAAGCGACGAACATTTCGAATGGCAATGGTATTCATTTAAAACAAATAAAATTGTTAATCATTGATCAGTTACTGCCAGTAATGATGCATCTCTCAAAGAAACTATCATTGTAACGAAAGTATTTTTTTCGCTAAATTATTTTTCTTATATTGTTCATTGTAACATAAGAAAATCAGTAGGAAATGATTCCGAACTGACTATATTTAAGAATGAAATACACTCATGAACACTTCAAAACAAGAATCAATATGGTGACTAACAAAAGAAATCATTTAATAAATGGATAAACACAAAATTGTAGCAATCAAAAAGCCAAAGAAAAGCAATTTTTTTGTCACTTTTCCATGTGTTCGTGTTTATCATGTTTATACTTTATAATTACTAATCTACCACTTCGAAATAGATACGAAAACATATACGACTAGATACTTCACATCAGACAGTTCTCAAACTGCATTCATTTTGAGATATAAAATTGTACATGACAACTTAACGAAACAAATTTTTCTCTGCATATCAGTTGAGAAATCATTTGATAGACTCAAATACTGAGTAGATTTATAGTTTGAAAAATTTCAAAAAACAAAGTACAATAAATCAGATCGTTGATTTGTCTACATTCTTCTTTTTACCTTTTATATCGAAGTAATTATTTTTGTGATGTTTTTATTATGACATATAAAGAAATTTCGATGCCCGCATAGATAAGATTTTTCTTTTTTGTACATTCGGTTTTTTCATTATTTCGATGAAATTTTTATACTCTTTGATATAAAAATATCGCAAAAAAAACACATACGAAAGTTATTGACAATGAAATTTTCATTTCAAAATGATAAAAATAATATCATATTCATCAAAAATATTACTCTTCACTCTGTAATTAAAACAAAATTATTATTGCCAATCATTCTTCTCGTTAACTTTTGATGTATAAGTTAACAAAAATAAGTTATCTATTTGAATGAAGTATCTTTTTTCTCTTGTTTTTGTCGAAGTAATTTTCTTTTTCAACATGGCAAAAAAATTGATGTGCTTCTTACAGATGTCAATTTTTATTTATATAATAGTATGTGTTAATTATATAGAATATGTTCAAATGTGTTTTCATAAATTATTGCCATTAGTAATTCTAATTATGTCTAGTTAAATATTAGATAAACAATGAATGCATATGACAAGAGAATGTATCTAGATGTCAAGTCGCTTTGAATGAGGACTATTCACATCGTGTAGGTTCAAATGACGTATAAATACCCTGAAAAAGTTTGCACTAGTAGCTTATTGCTGCCGTGATACTGTATTGCTACCGTATTGTATAGTACAATGCTTTCGTTTCCGTCAGGAACACTAGAAAAACTTAATTTCGGCTTCAAAGTTTGCACAGAGACCAGTTTTAACGAGTGCAGCTTACTGTGGGCATTGTAGATTTTGTAATGGATGTATTCTGAAATAAGAACATTGGAAGTTAGTCGTCGTATATGAACGGTGTGACAAATATGTTTTTATCATAGTCATATCTTAGAATAGAAGTAATCAAAAAGAATCTCTAATCTTTACAATAAACTATTCTCCTTCATGCATGTCTCTATGTAAAGTTTCAAGTCAAAATTCGAAAATGAATTTTTTTGCTGGTTTTGAGAGGGATCACGACACTGTGCTAAAAAATTCGGTAAAAATATATGATTACGACAGTAATAAACTACTAGACAAAGCTCTTTTCAGATTACTCACAATTTATTATAATTCATATGATGCACATAGTCCTGACTCAAAGACAAGTTGACATTGAAAGACGTTTCCTCGTACATAATACGTAAAATATAACAAAACTTAATCAATTCAAAACAAAAATTAATGGCATAAACATTATCATTTTTAACCGGGTGGTACGGTCATCGTTACTGTAGCAGTTGCTGGTGTTGGAGATTCGACAAGTGGCACAGGTGTTGAAGATTCGACAACTGGCACAGGTGTCGAAAACTGGACGTCTGCTTCAGCTTTTGCTGCTGCAGCACTTACGCTCTCTTTTAATGAGACAGAAGCGCTTTCTTGATTTCTAACAGCAGCCAAATCAATATCTACTTTAGTAGGTGTTTCAACGTTGGACAATGCCTGATTAAAAGAACTTGTTTGGATACTTGGTTCCTTGCATCTCGTAAATACAGCAATTGGCGGTTTTAAATCTTTAAGTGCATCAATTATTTCTTGAACTAGAATAGATTCACCCCTCTTAACTTGAAAATACAGCAACATTTTTGAGGATATAATTGATGATCGACCAATTGCATCGTTTGGAATAATACATTGACTTGTAGTGTTGTTAGAAATAGTTGCTATTGTAGAATTGTATCCAATTGATCCATTAGAAGTATATCGTGTAGTAGTAGTTGTGTAATTCGATCGTTGTTGAGAAGGATCTATTTCTGTAGAACCAGGCACTACATGTGGGCTTTCCGTTCCATGATCACTAGCCTGTTGTATGTTACTGGCAGTCCTTCCTGAACAATCCGTATAATTTGAAGTTGTGAATAATACTTCACACTTACCGTATGTTACACCTTCCGTTGTATTACCTGTAGTGTTATTTGGTGTCAACGTGATTGATGCTTGTACTGTTGTTGTAAAGTCTCTTTTATCAGTACGGTTGTCGGATCGTTTTAAGACTTTTCTCTTAGATATAAACTTCTTCCTACGACTAGATTGAATTTTAGGTGTGGCCGAAAAATTCGAGACCATAAGATTAACAAATTTATCTCCAAACCTAGCATTCAAAACTTTTTTAGTATCACTGATAAAGACATCCGTTGCGTCGAGTGCATTATAAAAGAGTGGCAGTTCGTTTGCATCGATATATCTGTCTAAAACGATTGTGGCTGGTGATTGTAGCACAATTGTAGTTTCTTGAAAATATTTCAATTGTTGAGTAACAATTACCCCAACAGTAATACCAGATACTACAATACCAACGCCTGTACCCACTGATATAGTCATCATTGCGATTCTCATAAATAATGTTGGATCATTGATGATCGCTAACATCATTGAAAAGTTTCGTGCAAAACGGGATTAATGTTATGAAAACGTAGTATTTTTCTCTAAAGAATATTCATGATAATTGAATACCGAAAAAATCATGCCTTATATGCAATACCGTTTCTAATGATTGATAAGTGTTTTTTCTTAAATAAAAAAAATAAAAAAAAAAGGTGATCCAGCAAGACGTCAAAGACACGAAAAAATAAACAAGAAGGAAGTGACTCGAGAACACATTAATAATTTAGTGCGTGACGGACAAACAAAACCATGAATATAAATGTCGAACGGCAAGTAAATTATGATAAACTGATCTAAATTAGAATAAGTATGATGCTTGTTTTGTTGTCATACTTTTTTATTATGATATATACAGTCTGAGTTTTTACTCTACTTTTAAACCCTCTATTCCATTTGTTTGAGTATGTCATATGAAAGAAAATTATTCTAATAAAATTCATGTCGAAAATTATTCAAACTACAAGATATGCATTTCTGCAATTATTGATTTACAATTTCTTAACAGATTAAACTAAAAATATGTAGAAGATAACATTGAGTAGTTGTTTACAATAATATATATATTGATCATCATCGTATCAATTTTCTTGTAATTTATTATTGATTTTCATTGATGAATAAGACTTTTTTTTCAAATAATCAACGTGAAAGATATTCAATCCCTTTGAAATGTCAATATCAATCTATTTTATAGAAATAAACTGTCATTTTCAAAAAATTAAACAGACAATGGTGAGTTTGTTTAAACTATGAGAAACGAAAAAACTTAAGTTCCTCACATTAAGAATTTAGTGGTAATTCCTTCAGTTGTTTTGAAAAACTTTCTTTCTCTATGATAATACTTATCGAAAGAGCTCTATCGATTATTACCAATATATACCACCCCACCACTATCAGAATAGAAGCAAAACATAGATTAAGTGCTGTACTGTCAATTACAACAGTGATCACACATCTGAAAAGTAATTACTTTTATATTTTGAATAGAGATGTATTAATAAAAAAAGATGGCATATCTACTATAAATATCAAGACATGTTTTTTATTCATAAAGAGACACAAAACTTGAAGTAGTCAGATAAATTAAAAGTGGACACTAATTATCAAATCATTATAGCGGATTCGACGACATCCATTCTTCAAGGATATGAAAATAAATATTACATTGCGATTGTTGGTTTATTTTGTTAGAACAATGTTGTAGGCGCACTCTCTACTGTTTTAAATTAAAAATGCACAGAACAAGTTTCCAGATTAAAAATTAACCAATACGAAAGACAATCATGTATTTGGTTGTTTTTCTTTCGTTTAGGTGATGCAAAGTATCAAACATGTATAAATCATATCGAAAATAACTCCAATTATAGAAATATTACCACAAGAAAAAAAAACTGATGAAGACGTCTGATAGACACCTAATAGGTAACCGATCACATTTGATGTATATTTTGTCACCTGAGTACATATTTCTATTCATTTGTAATAACTGTCAAGAGCATTCTTGTTTTTTTATGTCACTTGTCTCTATACTTTACGAGAATGAGAGAGTTGTAATATGTGATAATTAGTGAAATGAAAACCGTCTGGTAACTAAAAACCTACCTAGAAAAATTCATCAGATAGTTTTCGAGCAAATGCTAAAAATTTTTACAGAAACGACTCATAGAGTAGGAGAGACTAGCGCATATACAGGCTCTGCTTCATCGAAAACTATGATTGATTTGTCTCAATTTTATCTATTACTTCTAACGATGATTTATTTATTTTAAATATAAATATTTGACAAATATAATTGCAAGAAGTATACAAAACATTCAATATCTAAGAAACACTTACAAAGTTTGACTTATAATAAGATTTTATATGCAGTGAAAAAAAAAGTTATTTTTCTATGGAGTAAATATATCATGTACTTGTTCAATGAGTATTTCAAGTAAACGTTGAATTGATTTGGAATTTTTTAGTCCAATCATTGGATCAGGATTTTCTGAACGCATAATTGTTGGAGCAAATACAATAGCTAAATTTTCTATTGTCATTTGATTACGCATTGAATGATGAGAAACTTTTAATAGATGTTCACATAAATATTTTAATGTATAAAAATGAGCTGGTGGTAAACGACGAATTATTGTACGAATTGTTGTTACACATATTGTTGATGGATGAAGTTCAAGTAATTGGGTTTGAATATCAAAAGTAACAAGTGGAATAGGTAATTGTCTTAGATATAATTTTAATACACAAGTTATTGCATGAATATCAGGATAACGTTCTTGAGATAAATCAACATGATCACAATCACGTTCAAATGCTAATTTAATTTCTTCGATAGTATCAGAAAATCCTGCAATTCGATAAAGACCTTCAATATCAAGTGCATATGGACGTGATTCAATTTCATTAACACATTTTTCAAGTACAACTGGTGTTAATGATGTCACTGATGATGCTGGTGTTGTGGCTTTAATTAATGTTGTCAAATCAACACCAAAAATTGATTTCAAATATTTCATATGTGGTACCTAAATAAAAATAAACTCAATTAATTAACTTTTCAAACGATATTTTATATACAATAGCATTTAATAAATAAATTCATGTTAAAATTCTAAATCTGAATCCACGATTTTTTAAATATAAAGATGAGTAAATGATCCATGAACGTCATATTTTACAATTTTCAAGTATTCTTTGAAAAAGTAAACATTTAGTTGAAAGAATCAGTGTTTTATTAAAAAGACATGAATATTCTTGTATTTGGTGTTGGTTAGTTCCACGATGAAATCAATAACAACTAAGATTATTGCCCACGTTGAAGAAGGATAATATTAAGCTCAAACAATAGACAACAGTAATAGTAAGCCATCTGCGATTTTCAGTAATCGAAAGAGAAGAGCTTCGGATATGTTTTTTGTCTGATACCACACAAGACTAAATTATTTGAAAAATCGTCATCTAGACACTACAATCATAATTACATCGAATAGATGGACTTCAAATGTATAGTTCCAAACACAAACCAAGTAACAAACCATTATTTTCATGTATATTTCTCTTGAGTGTTGTCCAAAGACGATAGGTATTTAAAAAAATCTATCTTATATAGTATCAGACAAAAAGACGTCCGAATTTCTTCTTTTTTGGTTGCTGTAAACTACAGATCGATGCTTGCTATCATTGTCGAGTTTTTAAGATGATACTCATCCTTTTTTTTAATCTTGGTGTGAACATCAGTTATGAAAACTTTTTTGTCGTCATTCATGTAACAATTTACAATTATAAAAGGATAGTAAATAATTAAACGATGCATGTATATTGGATATAAGTTACATAGTATTATGACATGCCTAAACTATTTTTGGATGATATTATTAGTGAAATACTACATAACAGTTATGTTTATGACAAAACTACAGATGTCAGTTTTATTTTCTTGACCTATGATAGAATGTTAAAAGAACTTACACAATCTTGTGGTACTTTTTCTGAACAACGTTTATGTGCTTCAAAACCACAATCAGCACATTTAACACCTTGTTGTACAAGACCCCAAAGAAAATTTGCACAATAATCACACCAATGTGGTCCTTTAAATGAATGCATTTTAAAATTATGCGCTTTTTCAGCTTGCATTAAAAGTATACGATCAAAAAATAATGGATTTGTCGATGGTAATTTTCGATTTAAATTATTATTATTATTATTATGTGTTGGAGATATTCTTGATGATGAATGCTGTTGCGTCATAGATGAATTACTTTTTGAAGATGAAGGATAATTAGATATTATTTGATCTGTATTTGTTGTTTGAGAATGACCTATTGGGTAATTTATTTCATTGTTTGTCGATGATGATGAATCCTTGACAAGAAAAAATAAAAATAATAAAAATGTTTCATATTCAAGATAAAAAAAATAGTTTTTACTTGATTAATTGTATTATTTTGTGCTTGCACTCGATGTAATAATTGTGCTTTATATTGTCCATAAGGACTTTCATTAGTATAGCATTGTGAATCGCATGCCATTAAAGCAATATAATCACTTGCTTTTGATTCTAAATAAAATGATATTAAGCCATCATGTACAAGATCATTCAATGTATCAAAATGTTTTTCTCCGACATAATGTGTTGATGTTTGAGAATCAAAATATAATTTATAATTTTTAACTTCACCATTAAATTTAATAGCTAATGTATATGAATCAGGTGGATTTAATGATTCACGAACAAGATATGAACCATCAATAGACGCTGACATTAATTGATCAGCATCTGTACGTGATAAAAGACCATGAAATTCTAAACCATATTGTCTTGGACGACGTGATTGTGATGTTCGACATATAATTGGATTTGGTTTTGGTGCTTGCATTTGTAAATTATATAAATAGGATTTCCATACTGGTAATGAACTTGTAGAATTAGAAGAATTTGTTTGATATCGTGTTATAGGATCAAAAAATGTTGTTGTTGATGATGTCATAGATGTTACTGACTGATCCATAAATGGTATTGACATCATTATTCTCTGAAAAAATGAAAGAAAATGAATCTGACTAGAAACAATCAAACACTGTGAAATCAAAATAAAAAGGAAACTGTTCTTGGTTTTTCTTTTTACAAAAAAATAAAAAATAAAAAATAGAAAAAGTTAAGTATAAAGAAGTTTTTGAAGCTCATTATTTGATGGTGTATATTGATATGAGTCCATATTAGTTGTTAATCGACTATGTTGCTTATTTGCTGAAAAAAAATAAGAAAAATCAATAATGAAAAACTAATTATTGAAATAAAACTTGCCTTTAAGAGAGCGATATTTATTTCGACGAAATAGATGATGAACAATACGATTTATCATACGAGAAATCTGAGTTAAGAAAAGCAGATAGGAGAATAAGAACAGAAAATAAGATCAGCAAAAGAAATACCGTAAATCGAATGCAACCAAGTTTGGATCTGTTTGATAGAGATTTTGAACGAAAAGAATTATTTTGAAATTCCCACACAGCATCCTCGAATATTTCCATTGCATCGAAAGATAAACAAGACAAGAAAAAAAACAATGTATATATATATAAAAATATATAAATATATACATATGTACAATGATGAGTAACTTCTATGTGGGTGGATGAATAATGAACGAACGAGCAAATATTGACTGAGAATTGATGACTACTAACGTCCTCTCTTTCTATTCAGACAGGAAAAGAACGTTACAAAAATTTTACTCATTGAAAAAGTCAATCCGACAGTTTGTGTTATTATCAGAAAATCATTAGCTCCATTTTCCGAATCCATTAAACTTTATGTATATATTCGTTCCATCTGAAAATACAACTGTCAAATTTATCAATTCAATTGTTTTTATCTGCGATACGTCAATTTTGATGTTCATCAAAGTATAATGTAATTTTATCAATAAGGGCATGGTCACTAAATCTGAAGTCAACCCTCTATTTGAGTTTGAATTTGAAGTTAAGCAGAGTATGTAGGTGGTGAAATGTTTCGATTTATAGTAGACTCTAGAATGTTTATTAGTTTCTCTCTGGAGAGCGACAACGGGGAGAGGGAAGATCGGGGGGGGGGGGCGAAGAACTCATCTTATTTATGTCATTTATATAAGATACAGTTAGTGTTTCTTATTTTTAAATGACACATTGAACTGTATAGAGTTGATAAGGTTCAAAAAAGAAAATTCCCAATTTTTGTCAAAAAATGTGCACTTAAAGAAATACACACACATTTGTTTTTATTTAATTTTGATTATCGAAAGAAGAGCTTTCGATCTACTTTACTGAAAAACAGAATAATGATGAATGAGTAGTGTTCACAGAAAAAAAAGGAATTACATTGGGAATTGACAAACTATTTTTGAGGTATGCAAGCTTATAGTTACTGACGGCGTAGAAGACTTTCGAGAGTTTTTAGTTTATCTAACTCGAGCTTTCTGTATAGTTTCTATTCACTTCTAACGAAGAAGTGCTGTTTTAAATCATTGTCAACGCAGAACCTGACATTTACTCAAACAAAACTGAACGTTTTCTCAACAATGTATTCTAAATCTACTTTATGACAAAAATGTCAACGATTTTATGTCAGTTTCATTGCACTGTACAAATCTTTCAAACCAGTGGAATGAGAAACAGATGTTTGAGTTGATGTTAACCTACAATACCAGAATCTAGCGTATTGTCTAGTTGAGACAGTCTTCTGTGACATGTAATGAAGGTTGAAAGATTAGAGTCACAAACATTGTACGATTAGAACTATCAGCATTAAGATATGCAATGTAGTACTATAGAGGTTTAATTTGTTGAAGATGCAAATAATTATGAGACATTTTGTATTTCAATTTTCTTTTGTGATCAAAAGTTGTACCAATTTTTGTCTTTATCTAGTTTTCCTTTATATGTTACCAGATTATGCTTTTCCCATTTTCAAATCAATCAGTGCTACTAATCTATCTCTTCACTAGAGATCTGCGGCGTAACCAGGTTTTTTAGTCACGGTCACGATCATGGTCAAGGCCTACCTAGTCACGGTCACGGTCACGGAAATTTTTTGAAGCTAGTCAACGACCACGGTCACGGTCACGATCATATCTGTGAGGAATTTATGGATTCTGTAACAGTTACAGTCATAGAAATTAAAAGATGTTAGTAAATAACGACCCAGGATGAAAATTACGAAGAGTTTCTCTCAGAAAAACACCGGAAATCGCTGGAGTAGGGAGAAGTATTTGAACCGGAAACTTTCTGGACTCTTCCGAAAGATTTCGGTCTGCTTCCCTGCGCTTTTCAGCAACAGCTGACCGGAAAACTTCGGACCGGAAGACTCCTTTCAATATTTCTACGATTTTCCAGGTTTTTCTGCAGGATACAGTGACTTTTCCAATATTGCGTGTCGATTTCTGTGGTATCCGTCCATCGAAATGATTGATTCGAAGTCTACTGATGATTATCGCAATAAAAGATTTTTGATAAAACAAGATTGGTTTATAAAAATCGATTTAAAT